ATCAATAGGCGGCAAATGTGCCGCTGGGGTGCAATGACCATCCGGGCCAGGTCCAGTCCTCATCCTCACGCGACGACCTCCGCCGTTATCTGCGTCCGCCGTACGGATCGTCGGGACGTAATCGGAGTCATCAGGATCGTCGGCGCCTGTGGTCTCACCGCCCTCAGCGGCTGTGGAGCTGTCGTCGTGGAGGATGATCGTGTCGCCTCGTCTCTTCTCACCTCGACCTGCTCCGTCCACTCTGTCACCTCCCTCTGCCCCCCCCTGTCCATCTGCGGCAGCTGGCATCTGTCTGGTCTCGTCCTTGTTGCGGGAAAAAGGATGCAGGCGGCGCCGGTGATACGGAATCGACACACCTGTTCCCTTCTTCTTCGCCCGTGACAGCCTCGCAGTTGCCGTCCTRGTGTCGTTGACATCGCTCGTCTTGGCCCGTATAGGCCTCCCATGCTGCTCCTCGTAAGCTCTCATGGAATCATGACAAGTGCCATCGACGTTGCCGATCGATCGCGCCCCCGCGGGCACATCTGTCGGTCCATATGCTGATGTCTGTTCGATATCGCCCGCCCTCCGGTCCATGCCCGCACTGTCGTAGAAAGACCTCGTAGGCAATGCGCTCGGCGCGGCCTGCCCGTGGGCGGCAGGGTCAGCGGCAGAGGGGCGTGACGGTGGTGGACACATAATGTCACGCATCCCCGTCAAATGCGGTCGAGGCTCATCTGTGTGCCCGTCTCCAACGTCATGTGTGTTGGGCCTGACAATGCTGGGGTGTGTGGTCGATGACCCTCTGCGCTCGATGCCCCCCCTGAAGGACCGTCCACCATCTGCGCTCCCTGGCTGCGCTGTATGCTGGCTCATGCCCTCGCCTCCGTCCGAGCGGATAACTCCGGGAGGCCTCGCCTCTAAAGTCTCCGCTGGCCCTCGTTGTGGCTCTTGCTGCGGGCCCTCCTCTGGTGGATGGACTGATGACACGCCGTCCGATAACAACTGCGAACCATGACCCCCATGCGCCAAAAAATCTCCAGACGCTGCCTCTAGTGAACCTTCCAGACTACGTTGAGCTGCGACGTGCGGTCCACCACGATGGTTCCATGCTACCTCCTCCGCCAACCCCTGCTCCACCGCCCACGGTGCACCGACATGAAAAATGGCGGGAGTGCCGGACTCTGGAGGATGCAGTATCGTGTCGCCGCCGAACTCGTCGAACCCTCTGTCACGACGCGCGTCATCTCGTCTAGCAGGCTCCGGTGGTGCCACAACCGGCAAAGTGGGAGATATCAGTAGCGATATATCGGGCAGAGATGCCAAGGCGGAATCCATRGTGAATAGCTCGTCGGTGGGCGAAAGACTGTCGGGCGGGMAGTCGAGGCCGACGTGGTGGTCYGTCGGAGGACRTTCGTCCTCCCCGTYCTTTCCACAAGTGGGAGTGGGTGCAACCTCTCCCTCYTCTAGACCGCCGYCACTCGTGTGAGGAGGCGGCTCACGTCGTGCCTCGCGTCCTCCAAACCCGCTCCTGTGGAGTGGACTGGGGCGCCTGCTGGAGTGCACCGAGTCTACGC